ACGTCGTGAAATATTGATACCTCTCTCGTTATCATGCACAATGCGGCTTCACTTCCAAGCATGCTTGGTGTTTGCGTTTACGTTTTCGCTTTTACTTTTTATGCGCAAAAACGTAAATTTGCAGAAGGGCCTATTTTTGCCACTATTTCTACGTTTTTACAGCTCCATGGGACACGCATGTCGCACGATGAAAGTTGTGTACAATGATGACTCCTCCGCAATCTCCAGCACCCGCAGCACAATGTCCACCTCGTCCCTGGCAAGGGCGATAATGGCGCTTAGCAAAAACTCGTTTTCTGCCCTTTCCAGGGCGTCTGGTTGCCACTCTCCTTACTCCGTAATTTTGTATGTACTGTCCTCATGTACACCGGGCTGTTTTTACATTGAATTTACGTATTTTACTCATTTTCACGTGCAAAACGTAAAAACTATTATTATGCGTAAAAACATAAATATGATCAGTTTATATGGCGCAAAAACCAAGTCTGCATTCAAGTCCACATCACTGACCCGCCCTGTGCACAACGCTTATTCAAATTGATCGCACAGGATCATCAACACTATTGAGCTGATAGCATAAATGCAAGCACCGTGAGGTGCTGCCCCGAGTCATGACCGTGGCTGCGCCAACGGCTTGCCCGGCGGGGTGGGCCCCATCACTATGGTGCGTCCTTATGTAGAGCGATCGCCCTCGTGGGTATGCGGTGAAAAGGAGAGTCGGCATTTGAGTCCGCAATGAGGGATGCTCTTTACACAGAAACACTACAAATACGCTCTATTACATATTGCTCTTCCTGTCTGGTTGACTCTAGCATGGTGTTCCCAGTTCCCATTGCCCTCGCCGGGAATTCCTTGCGCCGAAATCATCCCATTAAAACACGAGCAAACTTCGCATCTCGGCACCAACAATAGCCGCCGTACTCATTCCTCTAGTGACTCTGTGTTCAATACCTATGATCCGAGTGTAACCAAGAAAGGCAAAGCTGGTTCCATAAAGACCGAGAAATTCGGACAAATTGGATAAGGTACGACGGCTAGACTTTCTGATAAGTATGGTGTGGGTAGCTTTGGATGTGGCGAGGCCAACGCCTCGCTTGTGAACGAGGCGCTGCTCTTGCCACATCCAAAACTACCCACACCATTTTCATCCGGAAATCTGGTGGGCGTTGATACAATATTGATAAGCCATTGCATCAACGCCGCTCTACAGACACAAGCTCTGAAGGTTCTCGTAGATGCAAGGGCCTATCAATATTGATACATTAATAGTGCATCAAAGCCTGTCATGTTTCTGGATATATCCACGTGGATACATCCCGTGCATGGGCTGATAAATGGATCGTTAATGCAGCATTTCTGGAACACTGCTTGTTTGGAAATGTTGCATCAAGGTGCCTTGTTGGAGGGCTGATACATGCCTGCGCCAAGAGCCATTGTTTCAAGCGCAGTTCACCAATATTGAGGGCCATTTTTTGAATGTCCCCTTGCATCAACCCTCATCAACATTGCATCAACGCCTGCCGAAAATTTTCAGATGTTGAGCTTCTCCTCTTTCCTCTTCGCAAGAAAAGACCGGCGTGCTGTTACCATGCGCAAGGGTTCAATATTTTTCGGTACAGGGTTTTAGGGTGGGGTGTTCAGGCCCGGGTGCCAGGGCCAACCGGCTAGTCCCCGGCTCAGGCTTATGTTTTTGACACATACCGTAGGTCTTTAAGCCTTTCCGCATAGTAACGTAACGCTGGGCCCTTTTTCGCGGAGCCGATGAATAGAAAGTAACGGTGCCGGAGCGAAATGCGGAGCAGCCGAATTTAGTAACGGCCCAGGCGCGGCTTCGGGACGGGCTTGGCCCCGGTAATCAATCCCTCAGCGCCCTTTGTTCACCAGTAAAGAGCACAAGCCCCAGCACTGGCACTGGTCGGGCTATGACTCTGACTGACGTCGTTTTGACGCGTACAAACACGTAAGTGCTGTGCCGGGGCACGGTAAAACGTTTCGATTGGCCCCGAGTGGTACATGCGCGCAGGCCGCGCCAAGGTGCCGGTTCTTGGGAAGCCAGCCTGAATACGCAGGTGGATTCGCCGGCAGCGACTGGCGGCTACTGTGCACAGCCCGGTGCCATGCATATTGGCCCCCCAGTGGTACATGCGCACAGGCCGCGCCAAGGTGGCGGTTCTTCGAAGTCAGCCTGAATACGCAGTTGGGTTCGCCGGCTGCGACAGGCGCTGCTGTGCACACAGCCAGCTCCATAAATATTTTGGCAAAGCCTTCACGATGGCGGGCACAGCCAACAACACGCCAGCCAATGGGAAGCCCCACGGCCAACGCCCTCTGCGCTGTCTTGCTGGCGACCATTCTGCGAGGTGGGGGGAGCGAGGGCAGGCGCGCATTGGGAGTCGAACAGACGTCGCACTCTTGGCGGAGGGGTGGCGGGCAGCCGGCCGGCAACCGCCCTGGCCGCATGCCGCCTGGGCAATGGGCAGTCGATAGGGCGTGCTTTGGGCTCTGGGGCGTGCAACGGGACCTATCGGCGTCGCTGCCGCCCCAACCTATCTCCGCTTCGGCGCGCGATGCCATCGCCTTTGGGTGCAATGGTGCACTCCAGGGAGCCCGCGGCTCGCGTGGTCTTGAAGATGGCCTCATTGGAGGGCCGCTCCGATCCCCAGTGCGCTGTGGCTATCTGGCAAACCCAATACAGCCTTTGCGCATTCTGGCGACGGCCGATCGAACTCGATCCTCGCTCAAGCTTCCCTGGCGGAGGAGCGAGTATCCGACCAATTGTCAGATCGAAAGGGGACGTGTTGATCGCCGCGCAGCATCTTGTTCCCCCAGCTCTCGATCTTCTAACGCTCTCGATGGCTGTTGCTGCAGGGCAGCTGCCAGGCGCCGCCGCCAGTCCGCCCAATCAGCGCAGTGGAACGGGTGGGCCCCCGCCGAACTCCCAGGTGCGCCCCGCGGAGGACTCCCCCAGAGACAGGGGATGAGGTCAATTCGCCCAAACTGGTTCCTTTGGCTCCAAGCTGGCTCCCTTGCCGCTGTTTCCCGGCTCGAGCGCCTTCCAGATTGCCGGCCGTCGGCGCCAAGGTGGCGGCCGCGGCGGGCCCGCTGGCAGTTGCCTGGTCCCTCGACCCGGAGAGGGGTGTTCCCTTGCGGCAACTTTCCCCGGAAAGTGCGGGGCCGCGTCGGCCCGCTGGTCGTGACTGTGTGCTGAGGTGGCGGGACGGCTGCAGTGTCTTGGCTTCGCGTGGAACGGATCGTGTTGCGCTGTCTGTTCCACGCGGACCTGATGGCAGCGGCCCCGCCTCGATGTGCGACAATTCTTGACACTGCTTTGCTCAGGCAAAATAGTAAGCTGACGGCTACCTCATTGCCGTGTTCTGTAAAAAATCATGATGATGATGATGATGATGATGACAATTCTTGATGATGATGGTCGTGACTGTGCGCATTCCGTCATTTTCAGTCGCATTTCCCCAGCGCGAGAAGTACGGTTCCGTATTCGGTCCCAGCCCGGTTGACCGGGATCATCGCCGTCTCTTCCTGGACTTGCGCATGAAATAATTATACTGCCTGCACCAAATCGGTGACTGCTTGCACCAAATCACGTGCAGACTATGTCCTAACCTCAGTTTTAGGGTTAGGTGAGCTCTTAAGGTGAGTTTTAGGGTAAGGGCTAGATTTAGGGCAGGTTTAGTTTGAGAGTATAGGGCTTAGGTTTTAGGTTCTAGGTAAGTTTTGGAGGGAGCTGGTGCAACCAGTCACCAATTTATTGCAGAAAGTCACCGATTTGGTGCAACCAGTAATTGTATGCCCTTGTGCACAGCGGTGCCCGCGGCGCGAGACCGCGGCCACTCGCTGCCACCCAACCCAACCCAATCCCAACTCTAGCCCAGTCGCTGAGGTTCTCACCACTTTGCGGTTGTTTTCACTGCAGGACACCTGGGCCGCCCCGGAAGGCCGACTTCCTTACGTGGTCTCCGTCCGGAGGTCGGGCACGCGCGAGCACGTGTGCACGGGCGTGCTCGTGGCGCCGCGGCATGTGGTCACCGCCGCTCACTGCGTGGACCCGGACTCGCAGTACAGCGCCGGCATGCTGCCCGTGGTGCACATCGGGGCGGTGAGCGCAGAGCAGATGGATTCGAAAGAGATCGAGGTAACGCCCTCGGGCGCAGATATCTCTTGTGCGATGGCAACTGGGAAAAAAAGGTTGTAACGATGATTGCAGGCGGCAGTACTTTCGGCAGAGTTGGCCAACTGCAACTTGCAGGGTCGAAATTTTGGATGCGCTTCCCAAACCACGATGTTGTAGATGCCTCTGAGGGCGGCAGGAACAGTTTTTGCAGTATGAAGTGCGACTGGGAAGTTTCAAGGGCCACAGTGAGCGGATGTGAAGGCCGTTTCTGAGGGTTTGGGATACTTGGGCCTGTTCTTAGTGGATGGCTGTTGCTAATGGGCACCCGTTTGCCTCCTTCCCCATCACGCAAAAGCGTTTCCTTGGAAATAGACTTGACTGTTTCGTTAGAGATTATGCCAAAAGCACTACCCAGTGTTTCATTCATTTTGCACAAGTCTTACTGAAAGCCAAGGACTGAAAGGACACCACAAGCCTTTCTTTCTTGTTTGTTGCTGGTATTCAGCTCAATGGTTCCTTGTCCTGTGCTTTCAAAGGGATTTTGCAGAGAGTGGGCATGACCTGTGCATCACGCACGCAGCTGAAGCTCCTCACCTTCTTCATTATGCAAGAAAGAGAATGAAAGTGGAAAAAAAGCGAGGCCACTCTCTGCATACTTGCGTTGTGCACATATCATGTACACAAACGTCACGGCACTGGCATTTCCAGCACCTGTGCTTGCAGATAATCATCCAGAAATTTACACTGTATATGTACCTGTTGATCGATGTTAACATTCAACAGTTCTATTGGGGGCAAATATTATTCTTGGCAGGGCTGCAACACCTCCCAACGATGGCATGTGCTAACGATGGTCAACTTTTGTGCCCAGGTAATGATGACACAGAAAACCACAATTCACAAGAAGTGGTTGGAGGAGAAAGTACAGCGTTCGCCACACAACATCGCGGTGCTGCAGCTGGCACGGCCGTCTTCCTACCCAGTGCCAAAGCGCTTGTCTGATCACTTTGAATTGGTGACTGGCATGAAGTTGGATGCCCTGGGGTGGGGACCCAACCGTGATGGGCCAGCCCTTGGGGGAGCCATATTTGGTGCTCTGACAGTGGAGCAGCAGGAGTTTATCGACATGAGTGTCTGCAACCGTGCCACGCTCTGGGATGGTGCAGTGCCTTCTGGCACATTCTGTGCATTGAACAAGGGACACAAGGCCTCGTGCGTCGGTGAGTGAGCCATAGTGTACATCGAGTGAAGCGTTAAAGCAATCTGCTGCAAACTGTTCTCAAGTGCTGTGTACAAGTTGCATGCTGATCTTAAAGGTTGTATGGTTAAGCCTTGATGGGGAAAGTAGGGACAGACATGATTTATTTGTTGCTTCGTTATTACCTGGCAGAACTCAAGTTTGGCATGTTACAGTGGCGGCTATTTGGTGGTAGATCCAGGGAGATCGAGAACACACTTATGAGTTTGTCACAGCATTTCTGAGTTACTGCGATCCACAAGTATGACAAGCCTTTCCTTGGAGCTTGTGATTGCTTGTGCTGCACTACAACATCGGCATCAACCGCGGTGCTGAGGGCTGTTGCTGTCAGTTAGATTTTGGTCTTGTTTTGGACATGACTTGGAAATATGTTAAACCCATTCAGACACAGGACATACAAAGCATCTGTTCTTTCACTTTCCGAAACGAAGAAAGCATACAAGCAACAGCATTCTGCCAAGGATGGTCTGAGAAACTGTGAAAAGTTTGGCAGTTGTGGCCACCGCAACCACGTTTGATGCGTTGTCAAGCTGTAGCAGCACAACAAGGTACTATAAAAGCACCAACACTTGTTCCATGTTGCCCAAGAAAATGTTGAAGTAAGAAGAACATCACTTCTTACACTTTTGAATTCTGGATTACATCACATGATTTGGCTGAAAGGGGTTTTCCTGTGTGCACATCAGTCGACTCAGGCTCTCCGCTCATGCTGCTGGATGCTCCCAACAGCGATATTAGGTCAGGAGCAGCAGACTTCGACTTTGTTGTGGGCTTGAACGTGGATGGTTCGCCCTGTGGAGCTGAGGGGAAGCCTGACGTCTACGTAGACGTGAGGGGCCACCATTCATTCATTCAAGGGATCATTGACGATGGCCACGATGAGTTATGACCAAGGCAGCGCTGCACTCCAGCAGTGCTCTTTCCTTCAGAGGAAGTCTTATGGGAAGCCGCTGAGGAAGAATGTCCGAAAATCACCGGCTGCAGTCGCACACAGCTTTGCAAGATTGCCAAACAAACGAGAGACAACCAAAGGGAACGTCAACACTTTTTGTTACAGGGGCACTTTTCATTGTCGTTGCCCTGCTCTTCACCAAGATTCTCAAGTGAGAAGCGACAAGCTTTTTCAATGTACCAAGCAAACGAGAGACAACCAAAGGGAACGCCAATGCTTTTTTTTACAGGCGCACTTTTCATGGTCATTGCCCTGCTCTTCACCAAGATTCTCAAGTGAGCAGCGACAAGCTTTTTCAATGAAGGCCTTGACATTTTTCGGCTGCACATGGTGAGCTGAAAAATGATCCAACCACGTAAATCCAGTTGTCATCAAGCTACATCCAGGGATTGCCAAGCTATGCCTACCTAGCAGGGAGCAACAGGGAGCGGGGATTGCCGAGCTATGCCCACCTAGCAGGGAGCAAAAGGGAGCGGGGATTGCCAAGCTACGCCCACCCAGCCGGGAGCAACTGGGAGCGGAGTTATGGATGCAATACTATGGTGGGAAGCGACCAGAGTTAGATGATGTCGAGCTGCGAGAAGACAGAGTTCCACCTTTCAAACAAATGAGGACAGATAGTTTTGATTTCATTTTGCTGTGGAGTCTGAATTCCGATGTGGTACGTCTTGACCAAATTTTGATGTTGCTGGGCCCCCTTCATGCCAATGGATGTGCCCAGAAGATTTTTTCGCACTCGGGGCTGGAGAGCATTTGATTCTTAGCATACGCTTCGCTGTGATGGGAGGGAGTAGAGTCCTGGCAGCTTAGGGCAGATATGAATTAGTGTTGCAGATTAGGATGTACCTCAAGAGGTTCGTTTTGGGTACTCAGAGACGAAAACATTGAATAGGATCCAGGCGGCATGGCTTGTGCATTTTCAATCGAGAAATGATAGATGCTTGTGTCAAGTCAGGTGCCAAATCAGATGTAGGTTCAAGTGTCGCGCAGGGATTCGATCATCAGGGAAGTGAGAGTGATTGTCCCGCGAGTAGTTTTCTGCCAAGGGCGACGTAGGGTGGGACGAGTCAGCATCGCCGACGCCTTTTCCATTGGCTGGCCGTTTCTGCATGGCCTTCTTGGCTTGTTGTTTGGCTTTAGTCCACCATCTGCCATTGGTCTTTGAAAGCCCGCCGCGCTCGAGAACGGCAGCAGCTTTTTCATCGTTGAGAAATCCGAGACCGGGGACCAATTTAGGCTTCGACCCTCGTTCCCCACGGTATCTCGTTTTGCGTCCAATCAACCTGGCCGGAAAGAGAAATTCAGTTGTTTGTGGGATGGGGAAGGGAGCGAAGCATGGGATTAGGCCTAATCCTTAGGTAGCACCCCAGAATTTGAATGAGGGATTAGTTGCGCACCAGCACTGGGTGCAAATACCGCAGCTTGTGGTGCCACAGCACAGGGTAAGAGACGCATTCGCATGAGAGGGTGTCTTGCAGCGTTTTCCGTATCTTCTGAACTTCATCAGCGCAACGTATTTCATAGAAAGACAGGGTGCGGACTGCGGAACCTTAGTCGCTGGGCAACACTTGTGCTGGGCAGCCCCGCCCGTCGGCCAAGCTCGTCACCATCAATAAAATTCATTTGCTCTGCTGTGGGTGGCAGGACGATTGTGACACGAGGTGGTGCTAATTCATTCACGCTTCTGGTCAGATGGGGATTCTTGTGGCGGTCCACTCACGCTTGTGGGTTGTGTAATAAGGGCTATCGCAGGTGCAAGCTGTGAGCCAGATGTGCATCAGCTGTGTTTTGAGTCGCCAGAAAAAATGCGTTGGATGATTCCGTTGCCGGACATTGCTGGACGTGTTCCACAATGTTGAAGCCACGTACAAGTACATGGGCATCATCCCCATGCGGTACATGTAGAGAACAATATGGGTGCGTTTTAGACCAGCCATTTAGAGAACATATCTTTGTAATCCAGTCGCCGTGTGAAGAAGCATTTGTCCATCAATTTTATCACAGTACCTACCGCTGACCAAGCCCTCACAGGAACGATACTCTTTGTGGTATACTTTTGAGGACATGGAACGAATTTGGAACCGTACGTGGCTGGACGTGTGTTCCTCGACGTACTTTGTCGCGCGCCGCCATCGCCGCTCCACCTCGCCCTCTCACTCCTCCTCCCCTCTCCCTCTCTCCTCTCCCCTCCACCTCCGCTCAGCACTCAAACGCATAAGCTCCTTGCCTCAGCACTTTCACTCAACTTTCTCCCTCGCGCATTTCCTCTCCTGCCCAGGAAGGGGTCTGCTGCTTACAACACCGTTGAGTCAGAGTCTAAATTGCTGTAGCCGCACCTCTTTGGCCACATTGAGACATGCTGTGGGCCGGGTCCTCACTAGTAAATAATAGGCCAGATGGCACAGTCCTAACATAATCTGTTGAAAATGCAATTATGTCCTTTCGGCAAATGTGGTCCCAAAACCACACATTGACACAGTTTCAACTGTGTGCCCTCGGTAACCGTGCAGATTACACAGCAGTAACTGTGTGGTTTTGGGACCACATTTGCCGAAAGGACGCTGTTGCATTTTGAGCAAACCGTGTTAGGACTGTGCCATCTGGCCTGGTGTTTCCTAGCGGAAGGAGAGAGGTCTGGTGTCAGTATGGCATCATGTGATTTGATCGGATTAGCTTGTGCTTAATCAGATGCAGATTTTGCTAGTAAAAAAAGCGCCAAACAACACTTTTGCGAACGCACATAAAACACAGTGCTTAATCAGATGCAGATTTTGCTAGTAAAAAAAGCGCCAAACAACACTTTTGCGAACGCACATAAAACACATTTCATCAAAGTTCTGTATGCTAAGAACACAAAAATAACACAAACCCGTAAACTTTGTACACGCTTGTTTGAACACGTGTTATTTGGCCGTTTTGTTTTCTAGTGTTTGAAACAGTGGCAGGTTAGCTGGCATACCATCAATCTTGTCCCAGCATCCACTGAATTTCATTCTCTGATCGTCGCACCTCAGCAAAAATTGTTACCAGTCACTTGTAACCATTTGGCCAGGAAAGGGTACCAAAACCACCCAACGTGGTCCCACAAAGTGGTGTAAATCAGCGATTTCTTCAATTTCTTCTCGTTGTTTGGTAATGGCACAAAATTCCACCTGATTGCAGCCTGCAACCTTCAGATGTTTCCTTCCTGGTGCCTGCTAGCCAAGCTCTTTTGGTTGAAACACCGTCGCCATCTTCTGCAATGGCGTGGACACCAATAAAATTCATCATGAGTTTCGTCAATTGTCCCAACAAAACTGCACGACACTGCCTGGTGTGTGCACCGACGTTGGCATTGACTGACGGTCTGCAGCAGCTCCCTTCCTTCTGAAAGCCCAACAATCTTCACTGAGGTGCGAATGGCCATTCGTATTCCTGACCATGGTCAGGAATGGAATTCAATGGAATCCATAGAAGGCTGGTGCTCTGCATGCAAAATAAGTCACTCCTTCGAGCTACACCTGGTGCGATACAAGCCATTACCCTCAACATGCATCTTGCATTCACCAAGTCACCCAGGCTTGCAAAGACCTATGAGGAAGGCAGATAAGGATAAGTTTCTGCTAAGACCAGAACATGGTATATGAAATTTAGATCAAAATTCAAAGTAATGAAAAGCTGACAATGCTTAAGCTCCCCACGACTCAGGTCACAAAAAGATCCATTTCACGTCGCAAGAAAAAGCCAAAATCGCATGGTGTGGGGGTTCTCTTCCAGCCAGTGTGCTAAGCTATGCTTGGAGAACTCATAGTGCCATATTGTCTCAACCTTGGTCGAAGACTGGGAAGACTTAGAAATGGTTGTAAATCATTAAAAATGATGATCCAGGAAATTTTACCATAAATGTTTTGTAGAATCACCATTCTGTTGCTCTCACGAATGCAGTGTATTGGCTCATTCGTCATTTCTTAAGCGTGTTTTTTCAGGATGAATTATGCGCTTAAAAGATCTTTTGGAAACTATGGACACAGTCCCAGCATGGGTTGTGTTGCGCGGTAGCGCGCAACAGGGGGTGAGAGAGAGCTGCCGGTGCGGGCGCTCGAAGGCCATTAAGCCGGGACCCAGCACCGGACCCCAAGTACTACGTACTTGGGGCCACACCCGAGCGCTGGTACCTGGGGGTACCCCAGGTACCGGTGGCCACCGCCCTAGTGCCGGTCTAAGCACTCTAACCCCTACACTATCGTAACCGTAGCCCTCTTGGGCCGGTTACTGTAGGGGGTTGTCGATACCCCCGGGTACCGGTTAGTGCGGTACAGGTTGGGTCGGAGGGCATTGGCCCATCAGTGGAGGGCAGATAAGCAAGGAGAAACAAGGTATGCCGCTTGTTGGAGAGATGGGAAAAGCTTTCAAAATGATACATTTGAATGGAGGGAAATCGCCATTGTGACTCCATAGAACATCAAAATATCACCGGAGCTGCAGAAATATTTGTGCCATTATTAATCGGCCAGAATTTCTGGATTCCATTAACTCAACATTTCCTTGACCTTGGGAATGTTTACTCATCGTATTGCCTGACTTAAGCTGGATCTGAATTCCAGTTTCTGGGATCTGGGATATCCTGAAAAAAATTTTGCGGGCATCCCATAAAGCAAAATTGGGGCTGTGGAAGAGGCGTACCTGTGTAGCAAACATTTCATCACTTTGGTCCAGTTATAGTTTCGCCACTTCTTGAGTGTGCAGCTGCTTTGCACATGCCGAATGTAGGCTAGCCGCTTGCACACATTGGATGCTATGGATAGCACGACCATCTGGCTTTGACAGATGCACTATGAGAAATGAAAGTCGAACATCAAACATTTGTTCCGCCTTCTGTTTGGAAAAGTGATGTCCATCTCACATAATGCACGGCCTGAATTCGACACATTTACGCTCAGGGCCTCAGTGTGAGGCGA